GGCTGTGGCCCCGCTCTCCCCGGCGGCCGGAGCGCCGCGCCGCCCCCCCTCCAGGTGCCGCCCCAAGCACCAGCTTGGGTGCCTGGTGCCTGGAGCTGGCCCTGGTAACTGGTACCTGAAAACTGTTCTGCATCTCTTATACATTGGTAACAATTGTATAACTAGTGATATTAATGAAGTTTTACTGGATTTGAATTAGACAAGAGCAAACAAACTAGACTGTGATGATTTCCCTTATTATTGGTCTTGTTTTGTTGGGACGAGAAAAGCAGCTGAGTTTGAAGCTTAAAAAGCAAAGCTGATGCATGATTTGTACCATGCAAAACATTTTATACAGGAAGAAGTTAAATTTAGGATCAGGTTTACCACTGCTGTATTCCACTTTACTCTAGTGGAATTAAACCTATGCAAAACTGGAGTCCCATGGTGATGAATCAAGTGGTTGAACTTTTGGAACAAGTTTATGAATTTGGGGAGTGAGACTCTCAAAAATGCTTAGTGTTGGCCTAATTCTGCTCCCACTGAAGTTAACAGAAGTTTTACCCTTGACTATAGTTGAGTGGGAAACAGTTTTTCTGGCCCACAAATATTTTCAAGTAGAAAATATTTTCCTCTCTTGAATCATGATAAAAAGTCAAAATTGTGAATATATTCGTAAACCAAAAACCAGATTTTTCATTTTCATTTCAGGTAACTTGAAAGGTTTTGTCTTGATAATTTTGGTCAGGTTTGATTTTGACCTGTTTTCTTTTTTAGTCTAGCTTACATTTCTAAATAAAAAGTCATTCAAGCTATAAAAAAAATTGAATTTTTTTTGTTTATAAAATGTCAGTGTTTTGTTTTGACATGTACAATTTTTTTCTCAACTTTTTTCAGGTTGTGAAATTTGTCAGAATTGACCCTGTTTCACAATGTCAGTTAATTGGCAGTTTTCAACAGAAAAGTGAGCTGAAAAATTCCCAGCCAGCTCCTCATGGAGAATGAGAGTAGTTCAACTTAATATTGAGCATTCTGAAATCACACCCCTTTTCCTTGATCTTGATCTTTAGCTAGTGTCTCTTTCAATAACATAACCATAGTAAACATACTAAAAACATTTTCTTTTACCACTGCTCTCATAACGAAGTGAGGCATAATATACTGGCTACATGTTTTATTTCTAGATCACATATCTGAATCACAAGTATTTCAGAAACCACTTAGAGGACAGCCTTTCTCTTGGAAGGCCACTGCTGATTGAAGATGTTGGGGAAGAGCTTGATCCAGCATTGGATAATGTTTTGGAGAAAAACTTCATCAAAACTGGTTCTTCCTATAAGGTAAAAGAAGAAAATATAACTGTAGGGGAGTGCATTCAAATTTTAAAATAATGCTAATTCAGCCTTATGTTTGGATTTGTGGATAGCCAAGATATTTAAACCCTGCATTTTTCTTCTTCTGTTAGTCTTAAATGGGATTATAAGCATTAGAAGAAAATCCTATTTAAAACCCCATTGTGCTGTATTGTAAATTAATTATTGCATGCATAATTGTGCAGAAATTACAGAATCAGACAAGTTTCTGAACAAGTAGTTTGAGGCACTGCATGGATATTATCTTTGCACAATTTTTTAATATAGAATTGGCTTTTTAAATTAGATCTTTCCAAAATGCAGTAGCAGAAAAATTTAACTTATGTATTCTGAACTATGTTGTAAGAATGTGACCCTTACTGTCAGTGCTTTTCAATTCATCTGTCTGTTTCATAATATCTCATTGTGTTTTGCAATAAGGTAAAAGTTGGTGATAAAGAAGTAGATGTCATGAATGGCTTCAGACTTTACATCACCACCAAACTCCCAAATCCAGCATATACCCCTGAAATTAGTGCTCGCACATCCATTATTGACTTTACTGTGACCATGAAAGGTCTAGAAGATCAACTCCTAGGGAGAGTCATTCTCACAGAGAAACAGGTAGGAAGAAAATAATTCCACTGTATTTCTGTTTGGTTTAGAATGAACATACATGTGTGCGTGTGTTGACAGGCTAGTTTCACTTGAGTTAAATTGATTATTCCGTTCTCTCATACTACAAGGTTACTGCTTTTCATTTCTCTATGAACAACCGTGGGTGCAGCCCTGCTCAGAGAGCTCTTAAAAATAAGCACAATCGTAAAACAAAGTTGATATGATCCTGAAAAAGCTCTCTTGACTCTTTTGCTTAGTCTTCCCTTTACCCACTGATTAAGGTCTTCTAGTCGGTCTTTCTCAAACATGCACATTTTCTATCTTTTTTGCGTGTGTGCAAAATATACTACTTTGGATTCCAACATATGGTAAATAAAGTTTTCCATTCAAAGTATGGTCTTTTAAGGTCAGAGAATCTCCTTAAATCAGTAGCAGTAATTAAAGGACAATGTTTTGCTTTGCTGGTTTGAAGTTCTGACTGCCATCACTTCCCACAGAGATTTAGGTTTTCCTCTGTCCTTCCACCACACAACCATAGGTTTTTCATAATATGTCCTGGTCTGTAGCCCTGGTGAGATCTTCCATGGTGCACGGTTCCTCCAGGAGCCGGTAGACCAACAGATGTTCCATGGTTTGTTTCATCACAGTCACATGTATCTGGGTCATTGGAATAGCTGCACATCCACATATGGACTTTTGTCCTGTCAACTTTTGTTTGGAAGCAATTTAAAAATAGATCCCTAACCTTTGGCTGAGTTACTGAAGCCCTCAAATCCTGATTTAAAGACTTCAAGTTAAAGAGAATTTACCATTAACACTAATTTAAACCTGTAAGTGATCCATGTCCCATGCTGCAGAGGAAGGCAAAAAACCCCCAGTGTCTCTGCCAATCTCACCCAGGGGAAAATTCCTTCCCGACCCCAAATATGGTGATCAGTTAGACCTGAGCATGTGGGCAAGGCCCACCAGGCAGATACCTTGGAAAGAATTCTCTGTGGTAACTCAGAGACCTCCCCATCTAATGTCCCATATCTGGCCGTTTTTCTGTTTTGCTCATTTCCAAGATGGGTTTATGAATTAAGTGGTGTGCCCGTGGCCACAGTTCAACTAATTCTTCATTTTCATCAGTTATCCTGTTGCCTCATTTGACTCTGGACTGTTAAAGTCACCAATGATCACCCATGTTTTGTTATGTTTGAGGTTATGTGGGCTACCAAACTTGACCTGTTTGGCTGATGGTTTGTAGAAAGACATGATGGAAATGCCACCAGTGTCACAGCAGTCAGGGCTTGAATGTTGTCCTTGTTGGTCATAGATGTGTTAATGACAAGATCAGGCTTTGATTAAAATGGTGCTGCCATATTGCTTCTGTGTCTTTTGATGGCCAAGTTCATCTCTAGTAACTGGAGACAGTTATTGTTGATCCATCTGCATGTCTCCTGGAGGCATAACAGCTGGCAGCTGTAGTCAGTGCACATTGTGGCTATCAGGTGGTGTTTGTTACCCAAGAGCCCTTTGATATTTGTTGATACTATCCTCAGTGTCAGCCCTGATGAGGACACTGACAACTGCACTGACCTTCAGGTACAGTTGGTCGGTTTTGCTGATGACTATGTCAGTTTGCAGGCATAGACATATTGTTTGGTTATATTGTAGTGCTAGCTGTTCAGCAGGATTTGCAGATTCAGAGAATCTGACCAGGGCTACAATGTGAGTGCTCCTCCTACTGCTATGGAGATTTAGGTAACTCAGCATCTTGTAGGATCAGGCTTCAGTGTTCAGATACTGGAACCTTTTACAATCGTACCCTATTTTTTAAAAATACTCTATTTAGAAAGTAGTTTATTTTGATATCAGGTTTGGAGTTCCTATTCCCTGCTGCCAATTCTTGACCAAAGAAGGGATTTGGAGGTCCTTGTGTTGATGGTATGTCGGAGCTGACCAGCAGATCCTTGGCTATGATTGTCTTGGGTAAGCGAATGCTGGTCTCACTTTGCCTCCCACTGCAGAAGTTCAGCATGAGGGTGTTCACTGCTGAGTCAAAGTTGCTAGGAGAACTGCATCTACAAGCTAGGTTATAGCCTGCACTAATACAGACCAGGATGCTGCCTGCTCTATGGAGTATGGCAGGAATGGATGAGGTAGTCTGTGACATGCTGAGAGAGTGACACATTGTATAGAAATGCAGGGATCTCTTTAGTCAACCTAGACTTGGAAGTGTGAACCCTTACGTAAGGTTCCTGGGTGCTGAACTGCTGAGCTATGTTGCAAGGTGGTTGCAACTAACTCCAACTGGGATGTAAAGGAGGTCTTTGAGAGAAATCATAAGAACAGTCAACCTAAGGGAGGAAGCATTCTGTCTCTCTAATATTTTTGTCTGTTAACCTTCAAACAAAACTTCAGGAAGGAAGCAAGTTAGGACACAAACTCAGTGTGTGCATGCTCAGTTAAAGATATGCTAGGAACTTTACCCATTCAAAGCCTTCTAACCCTTGAGCTTTCCTATCCTGCCTAGGCAGCTGTGTTTGTTTTGCACTTTATCTCTTCTCCAGGTGACAGTGGCTGCATGTTCCCTCTTTCAAAATTTTACTTGCATGAGCTTAAGTTAACACATATAAATTTAGAGATGGGTTGTGGCCTCATGGGAAAACTTCACAGCACATCACAGAACAGTCTTTCTCTTTTTCTGATGGAGAAGTTGATACAAAATCAGCCCAACAGAGTACTTTAAGCCAAGCATAATTTCTAAGACTTCAAAGCTGCAGTAGGTTCAGGTATATCAATCCTCCCTGCCTAAAGCCAGTCCAACCCTAAGGTTTGGGACTTACAATGGGTTATATTTTTCATGACTGTACCATAATGTTTATTGGTTCATGACATAAAGTTGTCCATTAAATGTAAGATCAAGTTTCTGTTTCTATAGTGTGGTCTCAAAAAAAAAAACCCTCAACAGAGCCATAGAATAATATCCAACAAAGGCCAAATTACGAGTCAAAGGGCAAGTATGGCAGGATATTCTGCAGCAACAATTATTTCAATGGCCATCTCTTTATATTCTCATCCCTAGCTCCTATTTATTTTATTTTATTTTATTTTATTTTATTTTATTATTTATCATGTTATTTATCATACAAGCACATACAAATTTGAACTGTGAAGCATTTACATTTTAAAAGGGTCAAATTCAATACAATTCCTTACTTAGTTTATATTTCCAAATCACGTAGGGCCGAAATCCTGTAAGATACTTAGCAAGCTCATGTCTGATTAAGCCAGTGGGATCTGGCGGTGTTCAGGATCAGTTGGATCGTTGACAGTGCCTTCCAGAGTTGAGCCCACACAGCTAGATTTGAAACACTAGATATCACACTTGAGTTTACTGGAGTTACCTGTGAAACAAATATCCAAGCAGAGTCAATTAAAATGTAAACTTAGCAAGAATGTTTTTGCGCCATTTACATCTTGGATGAAAATTAGCCAAATGGAAAAATATTTCATCCATTTGTTTCAGAAATGAACTTTTTATTTTGGTACAGATATGTTTCCTGTTTTGATGCTCAACAGATTGCCTGCTACTTAGTGTCCAAAGACATTTCATAACTACTGCTTTAGTGTGAATTACATTTTGTATTTTCAGATTGCACTTGTTCTCAGCAGTTTTTCTATGAGAAAACCATAGTTGTTCTTAATGCTTTAACTCCTTAAATCAGACTCACAAAACGTTTAAATTTAATTGGGGTCAATTTGATTTCTCAGCAGTATTAACTATTACATTTAACTGACCATTACCATCCTTAAAATGTTCTATCTTTTTAACTACACCTTCTTCATCAGACCTGAATAATTCATGCCATGCTTCATAGATTTCTGTCTGCTCTCCTCCTGTTACATTTTTCATTGAATGACTTAAGTGAAATGAATTTCAGCTTCTTTACTTCTTGTCCAGAAAGCCCCCTCTTGAGAATGCTCCTGTGCTTTGGCTGCCTCCCCTTGATGAGGCATTGTTTGTATTATTCTGCAACCACAACCCTAACACTTTCTGCTATGTCTGATGTTTGGAAAGAAGGATTGGCTGCAATTTTCTAGTTAATCATAGTATGGGTAGAAGGAAGAGACGTAAAACAGACAAGAAATTATTCTAGTTCCTCCTGGCTGAAACAATATAGGAATGAATGTATATTTGGCCTTGGGGTTCTAATTATTACTCTAATTGTATGCTAGCAGTTAAGTGGTATAAGTTTCCTTGTAAGCCTAAGTGAATGTAAAGAAAGCCGGATAACATAACTTAAATATCACATTTTGTATTGTTTCTAATAATTTTTCTGCAAGTTGATATTTCTTTGAATTGGGTAAATGAGTTTGGAAAAAAAACTGCTTGAAATGCTTTCATATGTATCTTGGGAACAGATGGAAGCAGACAAAGATAATAACAGAGCATCTTCTGCTTCAGCTGCCACATCTCAAAGAAGTAATGCTAATTGAAAATCCTCCTATTTTAGAAAGGGGAAATTTTACATGATGAAAGGGAGAGAATGATTGGGCTGGTTAGCAGCTGCCTGCGTTATGCCCATTTCTATTATGTGAGCTTTTCCACCTAGCTTTGCCAATGCATCGCAGGCCTGATTTACAATGCTCCCTACTTTTCTGCTCCCAGGCTTTCACTGAGAAGAGACTACTGCTTGATTGGCAGCTACATGATTTCCTATGTAGATTGTTACTGATGGGTGTAGGGACACAACCTTTTCTATTTCACCTGTGACATAGAGGCTCTTGAACTCAAATCTGCAGAAGTGAAAGGCAATTTGCATTAAACTACTTTAGTATAGAGACTGCTTCCAAAGTTTCAAGCAAAAGCATTTTCATCATCCAGCAAAGAAAATGTATCACTAAACAGTCATCTCCCAAATTAATGCTCTCCAGTATATCCGAGCATTATATGAAGGTAATATACAGATATGTCTAGTAAAGCTGGAGTACCTTAATAGCAATAAGTAAAATGCAAGGAATGCTAAAATAATTAGGATTTTCCTTTATGCTTGGGAATAAATTTGGCTGCCAAACAATAACTCAGTATTTCCTCTGGTACTGTAGAATCTCTTGGCAGCCTTTCTGTGGTCACAAGTTTGTTAGGGAGGAATCAGTCTGCGTACGACAGGTCTTTGTATCGGGTGGCCCAAAAGTTGCAGAAAGATTCTTTATACCAGGGAATGTGGTTCTTCCAGATTATGGGATTACACAGACACACTTAGTGAAGTATATGACAAAGTACCTTGCTGAATCATAGCTTTATTGAAGACTGTCTTGGTTTTTGTCACTTTTGTCTGGAAAGTCTCTTACTTGAAACAAACCTAGAGCAAAACTCTCTTTGCAAACTTTAAATTCTAACCAGGTACCACCTCTTACCCAATTAAGTATTTTCAGTGCTTAGATATTTCTGGGCGGGATGCCAACAAGCAGCTTGAACCCACCTTGATTAGTGCCTGAGGAATTATGGGATTCTAGTATTTGTGGATGTGTTGCAGCTTGTGCCTATACAAATAGATCTAAATTAGAACCCAACAGGCTAGATTGAGATGTCTATTGGAGAAATACTGTTTATGGGTAAGATGTTTTCTATTATCCTCTGTTATCCACTGATTTTGTTCTAGGCCATATCCTACAGCTGTGGAATGCACATAAAATTCATGCTCTTGCGGTAGCTAGTCTTACCATTGGCCCCTACTATTAAAAGAATGTGGATAGAGTTTGTAAGTGGCCTTAACTTGAATATTCTTGGGATGTGACTAACTGAAGTCTTTCTGGTTATAGAATGGTGAATCTCATGCATATTTCTATTAACAGTATAAACTTGTTTAAAGTGCTAGGTAACACACCTTTTAAAAAAAAAACGGGGGTAAGATATTGGGACAAATTTGTTCTCAGGGAGACTAAACGTAAATCTGAAGTAACTCCAGTCAAGCTACTCCAGATTTAAACTAGTTTTAGTGAAAGCACTCTGTATCATTGGTAGTTAGAACAATAAATTACTCTTGATGCACATGGGCTGATCCCAAGTATTGCTTTTCACTGTAAAAGGAACTAGAGAAAGAGAGAACTGATCTCATGGAAGATGTGACTGCCAACAAGAGAAGGATGAAAGAGCTGGAAGATAACTTGCTCTATCGACTGACAAGCACACAGGGTTCTCTGGTGGAGGATGAGAGTCTGATCACTGTATTGAGTAACACCAAGAAGACTGCTGAGGAAGTGACACAGAAACTGCAGATTTCTGCTGAGACTGAAATACAGATCAACTCAGCCCGTGAGGAGTACAGACCCGGTGAGCTGGAATCCCTGATAATAAAAGACAAATGTGACAAGCAAATGAAAAAAAAAAAGCAATGCTAGAGTGGGAGAAATGAGGATGAGAGCATGAAGAAAAAAGGGATTATACAAATAACAGGGGAACTGTGTTTCCCAGTAAATTAAATGGATAAGACAAATAGCATATTGATCTGTTGTGGAAAAATATATCAATTTATGTTGTGTGAATCACATGCTGAACTCTTACCAATTCCCAATGAAAAATCTGTTATAAGGCTAACTTCTGTGCCTGTATACACTGGGGGTGCAGATCCATAACGTTGACCTGGGAAGAGACAGCCCAGTTTTATACTACTTTCCAACCCACAAAATGTTGGCATTTTGTAGGCTGCCAACCTGATCAGTGTTGAGGAAAGGGCATATACTTGTTTGTAGCATCCTAACATCCCTTAGTCTTAATGTGTTGAGCTTTTATTTGGGCACTATTGTAGTATTGTAAATGCTTCATTAATTTTGATACTTTGCCCCTAAATTAGCTCAATGGTTAAAAATGGAACATGTGATTACACATTATACTTATGTAGAAGACTGCAGTAAAAAGGGGACACAGGTACACTGTGGTGTCTTTAACAGAATGCATTAATTTATTATAAATCTTAGCAATTTTAGAGTTTGATCACTGAAGTCAAGAGACCTCCTCTGGAACAATGGCAAGGTCCTTACATATTTTGTACATTTTGTACTCTGTGCTTTACTTTTGGATTTGTTACTTCTGGAATGAAAAGTTCCAGGTAGTATTCAGTTGGGATTTCTCTGCAGTTTGAGAGATTCATGAAATGGTATTTGTTACATAGTGTAAGAACATGTAGGGTTAGAACCTGGGACTATAGGGGTTCTGGGTGGCTGATGCCTCCATATCACCACTGGAGGTTCAGGCTGGGCATCCACGGGAGGACCCTGTAAAGCTAGGTTAGACAGGAAGTACCTCCCAGCAGGGCCTGAGGGGCAGTCCCTCACACCCCACTGACGGGCCAGTATATAAACCAGGAAGCCATAAAGGGAATCTGATGAGCAACAACACAGACTGCTTGCCTGCTTCTGCTCCAGACCTTGCTTGCACTAGACCAGTGGTTCTCAAACTTTTGTACTGGTGACCCCTTTCACATAGCAAGCCTCTGAGTGTGATCCCCCTTATAAATTAAAAACACCTTTTAATGTATTTAACACCATTATAAATGCTGGATGCAAAGCAGGGCTTGGAATGGAGGCTGAGAGCTCACAACCCCCCATGTAATAATCTCACGACCCCCTGAGGGGTCCCAACCCCCCAGTTTGAGAACCCTTGCAATAGACCCTAGATGTGGCTTCAGACCCTGGTTTGTCCTCGACTTTGCTATTCGATTGCTGTCCGTAACCTGGTGCCCATTCCTGATCTCCTGGTAACCTGACTCCTGCTCCAACCACTAGCTTAGCCCGCCCACGTCCCAGTCATGACAAATGTCAATACTCCTTCAGAATGTTGGAAAGCCCTGGCTGCTGATTGCCTGGTTAGAGTAAAATGAGTTACAATGTAGTGGGTCCGGTTCTCATATGGCTGGTATAATAGGACATCTAAGATGTGCATTTGGAAACTCAGTTGGTGCTTAAGCACATCCAATAAGATTTTGTACATTGTGCTGATCTGAGCATCCAAATGCAGCATTTAGGTACCTTCTGAGTATACTCATATTGGGAAACTGGGTTTTGGATCAGATGTACTAGTTATAGAAAACATACTTTTACTTATTTACTGACATGTAAATGAGACTAGAATTAACACTAAACCACTTATGAATGGTTAATGATATAGCAGCTAAAAGTTTTAGTTGTCATCATTAACATTGTTATCCTTGATGCAGTAAGTTTAGAGATCTGCATTTTTTTCTTTTGCATTTTCTGCTTTAAGCACAGCCTTTCTCTTCATCTTTCAGTTGCAACAAGAGGGAGCATCCTATATTTCCTTATAACTGAGATGAGTATGGTCAATGTGATGTATCAGACTTCTCTTCGACAGTTTCTGGGACTCTTCGACCTTTCTCTAGCCAGGTAACTAACATTACTGAAAGAACAGATGACTTTTTTCTCCTTGAAAAGGACTGTAGTAAAGTAAATTACAGTGTTCCTCCGAAAATGGGGCTTTCCTGCCTCTATTTCATTATGCTATCACATGCAGAAGCAGAGAACTAGGAAAAGAACTTGTTTACCAATATTTCTTAAGCTTTGTCTGTGGACCTTGGTAGGAGCAGGTTTTTAGTCCACTATGAGACAATTGTTTCCAATGCAAATAGATCTAGTCAGAGGTAAGGACTTTGATAAGTTGCTTCAGCTTTAGAGTCTGTTTTAGTATTCTGCTGTCTGGTAATATGTCTTAGTGACCTATTCATTTTTGAGATGTTCAGGATATTGAACTAGAACTTCCTGCATACTTGTCCTACTCCTTTCCAGAAAATCTTTTCTATAAACTTAAACAATAAAGGCTCTGAACTAAATTTTCCTTTTGAACAGGTCTGTCAAGAGCCCAATTACGAGTAAGAGAATTGCTAATATAATTGAGCATATGACCTATGAAGTATATAAGTATGCTGCCAGGGGACTTTATGAGGAGCACAAATTCCTGTTCACCTTACTGCTTACCTTGAAAATAGACATGCAGAGAAACAGAGTGAAGCATGAAGAGTTCCTGACACTTATTAAAGGTCAGAACATCAGTATAATTAGAAAGTGTGCAAATACATTATTGTGCATTATCTATGAGTCATTCTTTTATAGGTACAGCTTTTCTGCCTGTCAGGTGTTACTGCTTCTGAAATATCAGAGGAGATAAAGAATGCAGTATCATATTGTACTGATAACTTATGGGAATAATATTGAACTTCAATGATGTAGGTGTTGGGAATTAAAGAGGTGATAAGAGGTAAAAGAGCAATCTCATTATAGCACCATTCCAGATGACTTTGCAGTAGGTAGTCCAAGTACTATCCAGCATGCGTGTTTTTTAATCAAAGAATTTGAAAAAAGAGACGTGGACACTAAAGGACCCATGGCTTTTTAGTAAATGCAGAGGGTTCACAGGAAGTGAAACTGAAAATAATGTAAAACAATTCTTAATGACCTAAAAAGCTTTTCTGGACAAAAAAATGTTTCGACTTTAGTCATGTAACCTCATGCAAGTGCCGTGTGCCCTCATTGGGAAGTTAAACATCATCCCCTGTCCACTTTCCAAGGGGATACTGGTCCTGTTTCTAGCCCAGTAAGATACTAGACTTCACAGGCAACACTTCTTATGGTTTAAAAGGAAAACTTGTTCCTGTGTCCATGCTGAATCTTCCCCTCAAGAGGGCTAACTTTTGGAGGGAACTGAAGGTTGGCTTAAAGGAATGGCAGTTTGTTTGAGGCTGCTCAAGACATAGGAGTGTTAGAAAAAGTCTTCAGGAGGCAAACTAGTAAGCAGAGACCAAATGAGGTGGTCCAAGATGTGTGGTAAATGTACTCATTACAAAACTACAATTGATACTTGGCTTCTCCAGTGTTGACTAACTGAAGTTGGTGCAAAAGTTTTTATGCACAACATAGTTTCTCCTTATCCATTTCTCTTCAAGAAGTCAGTGATTCAGGTAGATCTCCTTCCTCCATCCTAATCTAGATTGAAGTGAACTTCAGGGGAGACAAATGACCTTTGGATAATTGAGCTTTGAATAATTTAGCTTTTTCTGTACTAGTTTTCTACACAAAAAAAGTAAAAATTAAAAGGCCAGCTTTTTTTTTTTTAAATAACTTGTGTAAACTAAGATTTGTCACTTCAATGAAACTAAGTTTCAATTTTGACAGGGCTCTCGCATGTTCAAAAATCTTTTTTTCAGAAGTGTGTGTGTGTGTGTGTGTGTGTGTGTGTGTGTGTGTGTGTGTGTGTAAAACACTAGATTTGGTTGAAATGCCTCATGTTTTCAATTCTCAAAATTTGTTCATACAAATTTAAAGTTTTTTCTGATGAAATTAAATAGAGAACAGACTTTTGGAAAAAATTTTAGAGCTTTCATCTACTACAGAAGTGCATGGAATATGGTCTCAATATTTAGATGAGGTTTTCCAAAATATTGCTTTTCTGGAAAACTCTATTTTTAAAACAGGCTCTAATTATAGCCTTACCCCTCACAGGTGGTGCTTCTCTGGACCTTAAAGCTTGTCCTCCTAAACCATCTAAATGGATCCTGGATATGACTTGGCTGAACTTGGTGGAACTCAGTAAGCTTAGACAATTCTCAGATGTTTTGGACCAAGTAAGTAGCAGTTTCTCCAAAGAGTCCTATAAATTAAGAGGCACCGAGCAACAGATGATCATTAAGTATTTGTCCATGTCCTTAGTCATCTGTGAACAATGAAATGAAATTAATATACAAAATTAGGCTATGAAACAACTAAGGCTATTACACACACTATGCCCACGAAAGAACTCAGGAAAGCAACTAAATGAAGAGAGGCCACTTAGTAATACATATTTTCTGTCCTCCATTCACAAACACATACGCCCCATAACATTTTCCCAATTCTCCTCCACTACATAACACAACCTTAACTCTGTTCCCACGGGGATGCAAGCTTTCCTGCATCCCTAGAGTGCTCCGTTTTGACTGCCCCTCCCAACACTTTCTGGTGAATATTTAGTATAGCCGTTTGGTTGAGGGCATCAATGTATAGTCCTTTTTTTGGACTCCGTCTAAAAATTTGTTTTCTCTAATATCCACAGTAACCCTATATAAACAAAGATTAATAAATAAACATGGGTATGCCTCTAATGTCTGACCTTCACTGAAAGTTTTGGAGTTTGTGTGTTGCAGTGTGACTCCTTCTATATTGTGAGATGCGGTTCTCTGCCTTATGTGTACAGATTTCAAGAACAGAGAAACAATGGAAAATCTGGTTTGATAAGGAGAATCCAGAGGAAGAACTTGTTCCCAGTGGCTATGATCAATCTCTGGACTGCTTCAGACGTCTCCTCCTTATTAGATCCTGGTGTCCTGATAGAACCATAGCTCAGGTACATTAACCCGTAGGCATATTTTGTCTGCTCCTTCAGATGTAATAACTTCCTGTAGGAATTGCTTAATTAAGTTTGAATATATTTTATCAAATATACAATATAGCAGGGATTGGCAACCTTTGGCATGCAGCCCGTCAGGGAAATCCGCTGGCGGGCCGGGATGGTTTGTTTATCTGCAGTGTCCGCAGGTTCGGCTGATCGCAGCTCCCACTGGCTGTGGTTCGCCGTTCCAGGCCAATGGGGGCTGCGGGAAGTGGCGGCTAGCACATCCCTTGGCCCACGCCACTTCTCGCAGCCCCCATTGGCCTAGAACGGCGAACCGCGGCCAGCGGGAGCTGCGATCAGCCGAACCTGCGGACGCTGCAGGTAAACAAACTATCCCGGCCCACCAGCGAATTTCCGTGATGGTCCGCATGCCAAAGGTTGCCGATCCCTGCAATATAGCACCAGAGTTTTAGTGCTATGTATGTAAAATGTTACTATCTTCTAATAATCCTTGTTACTTAAACAGCCCTTGGGATTTTTTCAAAGTGCTTTACAGACCTATACTAATTCATATAGCTATCGCAGGGGTGATCCCTTTGTGTGATGATTCCACTTTGTGGATGGAAAAATTGACTCTCCCATAGAGTCGAAACTTAAACTCAGGAGTTACTGTGCTCAGTCCACATTGCCTTGTAAGTGAAATAGAAACTTGCTTGCTGGCCTCATTAATATGGTAACAGAAATCCTAGCTGGAATTTCATCGCCACCTTAAAGTTTAGCTGAAATCTCTTCCAAAACTTTGAAAAACATTATTTAAACACCATTCTGCTTATTTAACTTTACATGTTCTGCCTTGTCTTTTCTTCATGCTACTGAGTTAAACTATGTGAGAATCAGATCATTTAAGACTTTTTTTTTTTTTTGCTATTTGGTTTGAGCACATCCTCATTTCATACTGTGCAGAATTGCACCAGATAAGTAGTTTTTGTCCAACTGTTTCCATGGAAAATGAGAAGAGAAATACAGGAACTATATGCTTCAAGTGGAAAATATGTAAATATTTGGATATCCTGGAAATGCTACAGCAAAAAACAACAATTCTGGAAAGACTCTCTTTCCCCTGGCCACATCCCACCCTGTGGGTGCTGCAAAGCAAGGTGGCATTGGCCCAGAATGAGTGAGTTCATATTAACAGAGAAATGGTGTCAGTATCTGGACCAATGATACTAAGTTTTGTGGTGAAACTGCAACCCCTTCCCACCCACTCTCAAAGCCCAGTGGGCATAGGCCCTTGTGAGACAGTTTCTTGAGGAATCCGCTAGTTTGACAGTGAGCAGAGGAAGACACAACTCTCACCTGCTCATTGTTGGTGAGTTGACAGACCTGTTCAAGACTTGATTTTCTTTTAACCTCTGCCTACAGGTTATTCTAAGCAGAATATCATAGTGATATCTTATGTCCATAGCGTATTGATAACCTCCTATTTGTGTTATGCTAAATTAATTTGTTTCTGGTTATTGATCTACACTACCAGAGAATCAAATGTGAGGTCAGCTTTCCCACTTATACTGGATCCCACAAGTAGTTTTCTGCCTAACATTAAACTTGTTCTGTTACCTACATCTCTCTCTCTCTCTCTCTCTCTCTCTGTCTCTGTGTGTTATAAAAAAAAAGTTTGTACACCTGTGTGCATATGTATGTGTATATCTTGTCTTAAATTTTAGTCCATGATGAAAGCTTTTCAAGAAAAGCAATATGTACAATCTTGAAATGCAAAATCAGCTCTAACAGATAAGGCTGTGACTACAGATTCCTTACTGTACTAAGCAAATGAACTTAATAGTATTCTGTCTTACATTCTTGCTCAGAAGCTAGACTTTTTTTTTTTTTGAGGTAGAACTTCTTTAACTTTAACTTCTCTGGATTTTGTATAATTGCTCAGATGTGGCTGCTCTAGTTTTATTATTGTTTGCTTGGATTTCCTCTTCCTTCTCTCTGAGGTTTTAATTTGCCCATTGACTTTCCTTTGTCTCTCAGAGGAAATTTCAGTACTCTGCCTACCACTTAGGATCCTTTCAGTTATTTACTGCCTCACCTACCCAAGAAACTGTAGAGATTTTATCCATACTGAGATGTAGAAGGCTGGAATTAAACTCTAGGATGATATTATTACTGTTAAATTGCATATATTGTTTCACAGAACTTAATTATTGGCATTGCAATCCTCTCTGGACTTTTGATAGATGTAAATATTCAGTTCTGGTGTACATGGATACAACTTCTATTGAAGTTAGGGGACTGATTTCAATGCCAGAGCTTAACCTGGTCCAGATTATTCCTCTCACAAAAACAGGAATGCCCTATTCATGGTGAATCTCGCTTATCTTGTTTTGATTATACAGTACTTGGCTTTAGAGAATAAATACAAATTTACTTGAGAGTAACAGTTTTCAAAAGCTTATTATTTTCACTTCTGAAGGGTCTGTCTTTGGAGGCTTCCTTACAGTTAGTTTCATGTCTACTTTGCTTCTTCTCTACAGTGCTCAGTGACTGACTCCTTTTTAGTTTCAACTGTGGAAACTAAATAAGAGATCATTTAGTTAATTACCCACTAACTTTTACATAATTCAAGGGATTTTGTCCTCCCTCTTTATTGGCTCAGGTCTATAACCTGAAGAAATCATTTCCCATGTTCCTTCTTTCTAGCTGCCAGTTGATCTTAAGCACTAGCCACCTGCTCTTCCATGACCACTAAGCCATGACTTCCAAGTCCATGACTCCTCTGAAGTGCTGATCATTGTTCTTGCTCATATGTTAGTGTTTCCAAATCCTAAAATGGATTTCCAGTTTGTGAGAGATTGTGAAAAACTTGGTTTTGTTATACTTCAGAACAAAATGAAATGTCTCATGAAACTGAAGTTTAGCCAGTTCTAGTCTTGAATGCCTTTGTCTCTGAGAACTGACTCATTACTTATTGGTCCTTTTTCTTGTACATTAAACTGGTAGCTACTGTAAATTCAGAACTCAACTGCCAGAGCAGCGATAGAGCAGAGATCACTTCAGTCTAGTTTGAAAGGGCCTTAATTTGTTCTCCATTTATATATTTGCCTTACAGCTTCAAAAACTGAAATGGAGTTTGTCCTAAATAGCGTAGAGTCTCTGTAACTCATCTTCCAAATAATACCACTTGTTTTGATTACTACTTCATTGTGGCTTAAAAAAAAGGGGGGAAGGCACGAAAGCGTGATATCTTCCTCCTATGGCGATCTGATTTTAAATCATCTTGTCAACTGTTAATAGGCCACAACATTGCATATGGTGGTTATATGTTGACCATCTTACATAGACTGTTTCTATAGGATAAAATGTAGTGTTAAATTTGGTGAGTAGTTTATATATAACTTGCAGCCTCAGTTTATAGAAAGCAACATTTGAATGACTATAATAGATGTGGTTGAACTTTTTAATATAGGCCAGGAAGTATATCATGGATACCATGGGGGAAAAATATGCAGAAGGAGTCATCTTGGACTTGGAGAAGACATGGGAAGAATCAGATCCACGTACTCCTCTCATCTGCTTTCTTTCTATGGGTTCTGATCCTACCGACTCAATCATTGCTCTGGGGAAAAGACTGAAGACAGAGACACGTTATGTTTCCATGGGTCAGGGACAAGAAGTCCATGCTCGTAAACTTCTACAGCAGACCATGGCACATGTAAGGCAAAACCTGAATCGTTGTTGTCTTGTCACTGCGTGGTTACAACATGTAATGTGTTATAACCCTGAATAGAAACAAAGCGTTCTGATACTGTTGATGCATGTAGATCTAATTGTTTTATAAAAGTAACTTGAATTCCAAAACAATAGGCCTGCGTCATACAATGGTAGACTATCAATGAAAGCCAGTCAGTGAAAATGCATGTGACTAATGGGAATTCCATAACTGATTATGACATGCCAACTTCATGATCTGACTTAATGATTATTAACTACTAGTACAGAGGCATTTCATATGATGCTTTTAAATTTATTTTACTATCTTGTTGACAAATATTGGCACAATGTGTAAACATTGAGAGGACTTCCAAATTTCATGTCTCTTATAGAGAGCACATTACATATTTGTGATTTTCTGTGGAAAAACAAATACATAACATAAGAACTGCTATAGTGTGTCACACTAGTGGTCCATGTAGCTCAGTTTTCTGTCTCTGACAGTAGCCAATACCAGAGATTCAGGGAGAATGTACAGAACAGGGCAGTTATGGAGAGATCCACCCCATCTTCTCATTCTGGCAACCAGGTTCACCCTCTGACCATCTTGGCTAATAAGCATATAAGTTTGAAAGAGACTTAATTTGTTCTCCATTTATATGTTTGCCTTACAGCTTCAAAAACTGCAATGGAGTTTGTCCTAAATAGCTTGGAGCCTCTGTAACTCATCTTCCAAATAATACCACTTATTTTGATTACTACTTCATTGTGGCTTAAAAAAAGGGGGGGGGGCACAAAAGCATAGATGGATTTATCCTCCAGGAATTTATCTAGTTCTTTTTAAAACCCAATTATACTTTTGGCTATCACAGCATCCCGTGGCAATGAGTTCTAAGGTTAATTTTGTGTTATGTGAAAAAGTACTTCTCATGTTTGTATTAAACCTGCTGCCTGTTAATTGTATTGGCTGGCCCCTGGTTTTTGTATTGTGGGAAATGATAAATAACACTTTTTCTATGCACTTTTTCCATACCATTCATGATTTTATAGACCTCTTCCCTCCCTTAGTCATCTCTTTAAGATGAACAGCCCTATTGTTTTAATCTCTCCTCATATGGAAGCTGTTCCATACCCTTGATCATCTTGTATTGCCCTTCACTGAACCTTTTTCCAGTTCCACTATATCCCTTTTGAAATGGGAAGACCAGAACCGAACACAGTATTCAAGGTGTGGGCACACCATAGATTTATATAGTAGCTATATATTTTCTGTTTTATTTTCTATCCCTTTCCTAATGGTTCCTATGATTATATTAGCCTTTTTGAATCTGCTGCACATTGAGCTATAGTTTTCAGACAACTATCCACAATTACTCTGAGATCTCCTTCTTGAACGGTAACAGCTAATTTAGAATCTGTCATTATATATGTGTAGTTGGGATTATTTTTCCCAACGTGCATTACTTTGCACTTATCAACGTTGAATTGTATCTGCCATTTTGTTGCCCAGTCACCTGGTTTGGTGAGATTCCCCTGTAACTCTTCGCAGTCTACTTTGGACTTAATACAATGCTTTTTAATATAAATACTCATAGAATGGAAGTTATCTGTAAGCAGTCTGGGGAGGAAAGAGAACAAGGTTTTTATTAATACAAATTAGCAATTGAAAGTGCTCATGTGTAATAGGACTGCAATCCAATTCAAAGGGGGAAAATAATACATATTCTTTGCACAATAGCAATCCATTTTATGGTGGCAGTGAAATCATTATAATCTTACTACTTCAGCTGAAGAGGAGAGCAATGAGTTAAACTGACACTTGTTTCCTAAATGTATGGACAGCTGAGCCCAGCTCAGAGGCTTTCAGCTCTTTGTGCTGTATTTGGAAGCAGTGAGTGATAGCTGCCACCTTGCCCCCTGCATTGTAAAATACATAAAATTAGGAGGCTGCCTTCTGGTGATAATTTATCATTATGTAGTGAAGTGACATTATAGCCTGGTAATGGGAAATGTCATAAGGAAGAGATTGCGAATGGGGAAATAAATGTATCTGCAAGGAGTCAGCGTCCCTCTCCCACACCCATAGTCAGCAAAGGGTGAGTAAACACCCTTTGTACTCCCCAAAAGTCTATCCCATCCATACGCTTACTCTTCTGAGCATTGAGAGAGAGGGAACTAACTAGGTAATTGTTTCCCTTCTGGGTTTTGGGTAGGGAATGGAGAATTTGGTAGCAAGATCTCATTTTCCCTGAAGAAGGAGAACTGGAGGAGTCGGGGGGACAAAAATTCCTGTAGATAAAAGGAAATAGGGGGTTCTCTGCTTTTGTACAATTCACCCATCTGGTGCGGATGGTGCTCCAGCTAATGATGTGAAGGTATTGAGTCCTATCAACTCTTTAGTCAGATGCAAGTCCTCCTGTTGCTTCCACTTGAGTTTCTCACTTAATGAAGCCTCATTTACCTGAGGCAGAACAAGAGGTAACAGAACTCTCCCAAATCCAGAAGGGGTGTGTGTGGAGGGAGGAGCTGTGGTCCCATACAGTCTATTTTGTTTTAACCCCTATTTAGCATCTCCATCTTGCTGGGTTGATCAGGTCACTAGGATACCATCATCATAGTGTCTGTAATATGTGGGCTGGTTAGCATGTCAAGGTATGTATTTCCGAGCTCACTGATTTAGCACTTCTATCCCAGTGGTCTTCAGGAACACTTTTATTGTAGTGAAAAGGAAACAAAACTTCTACTTAATGGAGGACAGCAGGTTCAATGGATCCACTGATTGGAATCATGGACAGGTCAAGACTCATAACCATCAAAGTTGAGAATCAAGGGTACATGATGGAGGATTAAGTAGGCCTTGTTTTGAGGAGGAGTATAAAAAGGACACTCAAAGGGTCATCCCACACATCTGCAAGTGGTAAATTTGCCATTCTTGTCAGACAGCATGGGCTGTCATTAGCATTTTCTTGCAGATGGGAAATACTTTGTTACTCCATCAATGGCTATTAGCCAGAATGGGCAGGGATAGTGTCCCTAGCCAGGGAATGAGCGACAGAGAATGGATCAATTGATGATTACCTGTTCTGTTCATTCCTCTGGGACATCTGACATTGGCTGCTGTCAGTAGACAGGATACTGGGCTAGATGGGCCTTTGGTCTGACCCAGTATGGCCGTTCTTATGTTCTTATATCTTAGTTGTACAATTAGCATGTGAACTGGCTGCCAGTTCTTGAGTTTTACATGGGAAAATATAAAGTTCTGAAAGGCACTAATTTGAATTGATGAGGACTTGGTGCAGAGTTGACAAGCTTAGAACTGGAATGTGGAGGAATATGTTACTTAAATTCTTCCCACCTTGCTGCACATGAGCTGTTGGACACATTTGATTACCATGCTGTAAATTAGAATTGTTTGATACATTTCTAATTGTAATGATAAATAAAATGTCATTTAGTGTTTTCAGTTTGCAAATAAATTTAAATACCACACAAATGCATATCACATCTTGTTCTCTTCTGTTGCACTAGGGAGGATGGGCACTTCTTCAGAACTGCCACCTGGGGCTTGACTTTTTGGATGAGCTGATGGACACTATTATAGAAACTGAGACTGTCCATGAGAACTTTCGCTTGTGGATGACCACTGAGGTTCACCGGCAGTTCCCCATTACCCTTCTTCAAATGTCCATTAAATTCACCAATGAACCTCCACAGGGGCTCAAAGCTGGTCTGAAGAGAACATATGGTGGTGAGTGAAAAAAATCAACAGGGAATAAAATATAATTTGTAGTGGTACACAATTAAATAGGTCCTTCCTTCCAGCCCCACCTATGTTACCGTGTGATCATGTTGCAGTTCTTGGTAGAATCAGAATGAAATGTTGGACACTGCCTGCAGACCTTATCCGTTGAAGCTGATAACAACAAGAGTTGTGCATGTGGATTCCACGGCACAACTTGGCCCTAAGATGAAGCCAGATGAAAAGAAAATCGAGAGAAATTGGAGAGTTGCTGAACTCATCTGATATAAAAACAGGAATATTTTTTCCACAAATTATAACCTCCAGTGTCTTGCTTAAAATGCTTTTTAACACATCATTTAATAATTGAACACCCTTGCACTTTTTATGATGAAAGGCCATATGCTGATTTTATCATGCTAGAGCAATGATTTTTATGTGATTTTCTGGGAACTAAAAAGCTGTATCTCCTGTCCTCAAAGGGCTTGTTGATACGATAAATGCACCAGATGTGCACTGTAACATGTTCATTTATATTTCTGAACTTTATGCTAACTTGTGCTACCTAAAAAGAGCATACTTTCTCCAGACTAGAGTGCTTTGTGATATAGTAAATGCATCTCTGGAGAGATTCAAAGCTAACTAAGTACCACCAGGAGAGGTATTTTAGTAATGGATCACACTGAAACTAAAATGCTGGTAGCTTATGGCTTGTGATGTCCACTTTTTTCCAACAGGTGTGAACCAAGATCTCCTGGATGTCAGTAACATGGTGCAATGGAAACCAATGTTATACGCTGTTGGTTTCCTGCACTCCACAGTTCAAGAAAGACGCAAATTTGGACCACTAGGTTGGAACATCCCCTATGAGTTTAACCAGGCTGACTTTAATGCTACTGTGCAGTTCATCCAGAATCATTTAGATGACATTGACATCAAGAAGGTACTTAATTCAATAGTTTGGGTAACTGGAATATTATGGATGGTCCCAAACAACTGAAATACAAACATGAATGCTAGATTTTAAAAAGCTTGTTCCTTTAACTCTAGATATATTGAGTGCCCACAGCATTGAAAACACTTGTCTACATATGTTGAGATACAAATGCAACTGCTCAGTGGGGGGTAACTTTTTAAATCCATTTTTAACCATGTGTATGTTTTCTAGTTATGTTTGTGGTGGTTACTTTTTTATTAGTCCAAAAAAATATATATAATTATGCAAAAAAAGGGGAGCTGTAAACTGCAGCAATATTTGAAGCCTAGTAGGCTTGTCCCAGTTGCAAACCTAACTGTAGAAAGTGACTAACAATTCACAAAATGTTAAAATAACCTATAACAACAAATGTTGGTGTTGGGGGGAAAGTGCACAGGGGAAACAGACTGAATTAGTCCAAACAAAAAGGACTGTGTTGAGATCGTATTTGCTAAAGAAGGAAAGTGTGGGACCAGAAATCAGTGACTCAAAATTGGTGTGTTGGAAAATAGATGTAATTGGTGGACAAAGTAATGAGGGGAAGGGCTATTCCACCCATTGCTCTCCTTTTGGGGTCCTCAGAAAGACTTCGTAGGGGGGCAGGAAATTAGCAGACTATGGCTGACTGAAAGGCTGACAAACAGGAAGGAGCGAGCGTTATCATTATGGCTTCCATCCCCTTTATCTCCTGGAACCCCAGAGTCCACCATGACACTCTTGGGCCTTTGTCATCCTAATCCTGAGATGTCCTGACCAGACCGAGCCAGAATGAGAGACCCAGATTACACTTTTCAGAGTAGCAGCCGTGTTAGTTTGTATCCGCAAAAAGAACAGGAGTACTTGTGGCACCTTAGAGACTAACAAATTTATTAGAGCATAAGCTTTCATGGGCTACAGCCCACTTCTTAAAGCTTATGCTCTAATAAATTTGTTAGTCTCTAAGGTGCCACAAGTACTCCTGTTCTTTTTCCAGATTACACTGTTGGCTCTAGCTAAACCCCAAACACCACTGGGGATGTGAGACTTTTTCACCCCCTCCTGGTGCACCCTTTTCCTTCCCCACCTTAATTCTTCTCTTTCCTATTTCTCTCCTATTGCCTTCTGTCTGAAAAGAGTCTGGCTTAGCTGGCTAAGACTATATATTTTACAACACTGCTGCAAGCCTGTGAGCAGAGAGACAGCTAAAAGCAATGCCCAAAGCAACCTGATGCTGGTGTAAGTTTGTCAGGTCTCAGAATGGCTGATAAGACCAAGTGTGATACCTGTGTTTTTCCAGCAGTGAGGTTGCAAGTGAGAGTCAACACCAAAGATAGAAACTGATTTATTTTGCTATTCTTTTCTTTTCCCTTTTGCGTGTGCTTGTCTTGTTTTGTCTTCAAGAAAAAGGGATCAAACTTTAGCAGCCGCAATAAGAGATCCAGGCTATCTTAGCTAACTTCTGTTTTCCCCAAATAGGACAGTTATTACCATCTTTAATACCATCTAAAGGACTGTCAAATAAGGGGTTTTGTCCTTTTAAAAACTTTCTGTAGCTTAAAGGACCAAGGGATGTTGTTAAAATGAAAACCTTATTTAATACTTTACATAGCAAATGCTTTAACTGTCTTTTTTCCTTTCTTTTCTACATATTTAAAGGGTTAAAAAGATTTCTAATGGTTTGTTTGCCAAAGTACTAAGCCAGCTGAGGTCTCTGTATACCAAACACTGAAGCTTGTTTAAGACTGCTTGATGTTAGACAATGACTGGGTTATGCTATCACCTTTGACTTTTTGGACACCTATATTCCATCGAAATTAATAAAGCAAAACACACCATGACATAGAGTTTATTTTTATTGTGAGATAGCGTTAAATGGCTAAAAGTTGTTTTTTGTATTTCAGAATGATGTTCTGTTTTATAACAAATGTTTTAATTATATATTTCAATTATTTGTGATTTAATGGAATTAGTACTTGCTTTTTGACCCTGTCTTCATAAATCAGTGCTTCTCATGCCCACACCAGTTTTGGGGAATGGGTTGGATGGCAAGCTGTACATGTGTATCTGTGAGGAGAGTATCAAATTTAGGAAAATATTATTTGAAATTTGTTGGTACTAATTTTGTGAAAGTTAAAGATGCTGATGAATTTTCTGAACCCCAATGCATCCCCTGCCTAAAAACCAAATACAGTGGGACATCAGAGCAGCAGTTAGGAGTCTACAAAGATAATTCTAATTATTTCTGCACTGCAATGGTGGTGGATTTTGTTTAAACGACCTAAGCAGAAAGCATATTACTACTGACCAGCTATTCCATGCTTCTGTGGCCCTTCTGTGACACTCTGGCAGCAAAAGGGGACTGTAAAACTGGCTTAACTAGCCTCCTGAAGATGTCTCTGGATGGGAGAATCCAAAACAGTGTAGTGAACCATAGTTGCTTCTCTGGCAAAGCTCATTGCCATCTCCATTGTAAATGGCATTTGAGGGCATGGTTGGCGCGAAGCTGTACCACAGGTATCCCAGCTGCCAAAAGAGCCCCTTGTTACTTAAGCCAGTGGCTCTCAAAGCCGGTCCACTGCTTGTTCAGGGAAAGCCCCTGGCAGGCCGGGCCAGTTTGTTTACCTGCTGCGTCCGCAGGTTCAGCCAATCGCAGCTCCCACTGGCCGCGGTTCGCCACTCCAGGCCAATGGGGGCTGCGGGAAGCGGCGTAGGCCGAGGGATGTGCTGGCTGCCCTTCCCTCAGCCCCCATTGGCCTGGAGCGGTGAACCACGGCCAGTGGGAGCCGCGATCAGCCGAACTTGCGGACACGGCAGGTAAACAAACCAGCCCGGCCCGGCAGGGGCTTTCCCTGAACAAGCGGCGGACCGGCTTTGAGAACCACTGACTTAAGCCGCTGTAAATTGTGTGAGGATTGAGCAGACCTCAAGATCAGGGGAACACAAGGGTGGTGTAAAATCACTTTCACCCTCAAGAGGGTCAGATGATCTGGGCCTATATACAATACTGTATGTATACAGACACATGAAGATGTCAACAGAGCTCTGCATGAAATTCAGGGAGGTTTAGCCACAATTAATGTTTGTATGTTGTTTTAGGGTGTCTCCTGGAATACTGTTCGCTACATGGTAGGCGAGATCCAGTATGGAGGTCGAGTGACTGATGACTATGACAAAAGACTGCTGAACACATTTGCTAAAGTCTGGTTCAGTGAAAACATATTCAGTCAAGACTTCTGCTTTTACAAAGGGTACAGCATACCCAAATGTACCACAGTGGATCAGTACCTTCAGTACATACAGGTTTGTACAGTACCAAGCTCTTACCAAATGAAAACAATACTAATAAACACTCATCCAAGTTCTTTCTACCCTTCAGCATCTTCCTTTAGTTTCAGTCTGTTAAACAGATTTTTCTCCTGTCTGCATACTTGCCTAAATATCTGTTAGTGAAGGAGTTATAATGCTGTTCCAGTAGCTCTACACTTTATTTTTCCTTTTAACTCCCTTGAGAGAAGTACCATCTAGAGAGACCATTATCAAAGGAGAAATAGAGAATGGGAGTCCAGGCTCTTGGCCCTACCGCACAGGAAATGTTAGGGGAGTCTGAAGTGGAAAATGACTACTCAAACATAGGGGGAAATTGCATACTAAGGCCTGGTCTACACTGGAGGGGGGATCGATCTAAGTTACACAACTTCAGCTACGTGAATAATGTAGCTGAAGTTGACGTACTTAGATTGACTTACTGTGGTGTCTTCACCACGGTGAATTGACTGCTGCCGCTCCCCCATCGACTCTGCCTGCGTGTCTCGCCGAGCTGGAGTACAGGAGTCGACAGGAGAGCGCTCAGGGATCAATTTATCACATCTAGACTAGATGCTATAAATCGACCCCCGCTGGATCGATCGCTGCCCGCTGATCCGGCGGGTAGTGTAGACATACCCGAAGGCAGCGTTTCCCAAACTTGGGACGCTGCTTGTTTAGGGAAAGCCCCTGGTGGGATGGGCCGGTTTGTTTACCTGGCTCGTCTGCAGGTCTGGCCGATTGCGGCTCCCACTGGCTGCGGTTTGCTGCTCCAGGCCAATGGGAGCTGCTGGAAGCGGCGGCCAGTACATCCCTCGGCCAGTGCCGCTTCCAGCAGCTCCCATTGGCCTGGAGCAGTGAACCGCGGCCAGTCGGAGCCGCGATCGGCCGGACCTGCAGATGTGGCAGGTAAACAAACCGGCCCGGCCCGCCAGGGGCTTTCCCTACACAAGTGGTGTCCCAAGTTTGGGAAACACTGCTCTAAGTGGTTACAGTCAGCAGGGTTTGTGTTTCAGTGCTAGGTTTTAGGAAGCACTGGATTCTTTGCATCGAAGACTGCTAATTGAGCATCACAGGATGCCAAAATTAGGAAAATAAAGCTTTTTTTATTTTATAGGGTAGTAACTGCTTTTATTCCTCTGGCTTTTTTACAGCTGGCATTTGTGAATTTTACCTCCAATTACAATTCTTTGTGTTTGATCATCTAGAGCCTGCCCGCTTATGACACTCCTGAGGTATTTGGGCTGCATCCCAATGCTGATATCACTTACCAAAGCAAGCTTGCCAAGGATGTGTTGGATACCATCCTCAGTATTCAACCTAAAGACAGTTCCAGTGGAGGAGGCGAGACTAGAGAGGCGGTGGTAGCTAGATTGGCTGATGATATGTTGGAGAAGCTTCCTGATGATTATGCACCGTTTGAAGTGAGTTAATGAAATCCTGTCAATGACATCTGCTCTGTCTTGCCTTATGTATGTGCAGAAAAACACAGAAAAGTCCCATATAATCTTCTTTAAAAGTTTTAGTGAATCCATTTACACTGACAAATGCTTTAAAAATATATACTGAGGAAGTCTGAATGGGATGTAAATGTTCATAGTGAAGTTGCTAAAATTGTACTGATGGGCATTATTGCTTTGCTAAAAATTAAACCACTTGTTGATTTTCCGTTTACACTGCGGGAGGTCAGCAGTTTTCGTCAGCTAAACTAGATAGAACTTGTGCTCTGTTTGTAAATTAAAATTCCTAAATTTTGTTACTTTGCAGTTCAGCATAGAAACTGCAGATAGTTGTAATTTGTTTTCATATATTACAGTGTTTCTTTACAATGGAGTGAATGGCTCCCGGGATTGACAATGATGTGGATGTGGGTGTGAGAGAGTGAAATAAATGTGTGTGTGTTTGTGTGTGTGTGTGTGTGTGTGTGTGCGTGGAACCTTTTCATCTTGCCTTCACTGGTTCAAACCCAGTGAAGTTAACTACTGACTCAGCAACAATGCTTAGTAGCCCAATTGCGGTGAGTTTGGTTTCAGTTATAGTTGCAATAGACACTTTCCCACATTGTGCAGAGGAAACACTGCCACTGACTTACCCTCCCCTAGCTAGCATCCAGGGGAAACAGAATGGAGAGTTTAGGAGGGGAGAGTGAACAGACAGGACCATAGTGGCATGTGGCTAGATGCACAAGCTGCACAGTCCAGGGCTGCCCAGAGGCTTCAGGGGGCCTGGGGCAAAGCAATTTCGGGGGCCCCTTCCATAAAAAAAAGTTGCAATACTATATAATACTATATTCTCGTGGGGGCCCCTGTGGGGCCCGGGGCAAATTGCCCCACTTGCCCCGCCCTGGCACAGTCAGTGAACATGTCCATGTGTTCACACTCTTGTTTGTCTGGCTTTGGCTCAGCTCTTTTCAAATACAGTTATTCCCTTGTTCGTTATCTTACTTGTGCTGTGTTCCATCAGGTATGATGTAAGCGTCATGTCACAGTAGTTAACACCAGTGATGACAAACCCAACAGAAATGAGGCAGGGCCGTCTCTACCATTTTTGCTGCCCCAACCGAAAAAAAAAAGCGGCTCGGACTGCCGCCTGAACCTGCCGAAGGAAAAAAAAATAACCGGACTGTGCCGCCCTAAGAATGGACGGAATGCCGTCCCTTAGCATGTGCCGCCCCAGGCACGTGCTTCCTCTGCTGGTGCCTGGAGCCGGCCCTGAAATGAGGAGCCACCTGTTCTAATTTGAACTGCTGAGCCAGTGACCTCCCACAGGTCTGTGTCTTGGCATGAGCTCAGCACATTGAAATTTCTGAGCTAATGACCTCACAGAAGCCTGAGCACTATCACCCCAGCAAGCCGTAGAAGATAAGTTAGGAAACTTTTCTGAAGCTTGAGACTTGATATCCAATCAGAGCAGCACTTTTGAGCTCACAAGACTTGTGCCTTTTGTTATCCCCGCCAGCAAGTTTGTAGTGCTTAGGCTGAGGTTTCACAAGTTTTTAAGCTTTCACACAAGCCCAAAAGCTAGAGGTGCTCAACCACTAACTTCAGAGAGGGCTGACACTCATCCTAGCAAGGTAGGAGGAGTACTTAGCCAGTAACCTTAAAAAGCCCTGTGTTGCCACATAGACCCAAATGGTTAAATTGCTGAACTAGTGAGTTTACAAAGCCTTGTCTCTTGTAATCTTTCTCAGGAAGCTAAAGAATATCATAGAATATCAGGGTTGGAAGGGACCTCAGGAGGTCATCTAGTCCAACCCCCTGCTCAAAGCAGGACCAATTCCCAACTAAATCATCCCAGCCAGGGCTTTGTCAAGCCTGACCTTAAAAACCTCTAAGGAAGGAGATTCCACCACCTCCCTAGGTAACCCATTCCAGTGCTTCACCACCCTCCTAGTGAAAAAGTTTTTCCTAATATCTAACCTAAACCTCCCCAACTGCAACTTGAGACCATTACTCCTTGTTCTGACATCAGGTACCACTGAGAACAGTCTCGATCAATCCTCTTTGGAACCCCCTTTCAGGTAGTTGAAAGCAGCTATCAAATCCCCCCTCATTCTTCTCTTCTGCACACTAAACAATCCCAGTTCCCTCAGCCTCTCCTCATAAGTCATGCGCTCCAGACCCCTAATCATTTTTGTTGCCCTCCGCTGGACTCTTTCCAATTTTTCCACAAGGTGTCAAACTAGACATCTCACAAATCTGACCCTTATTATCAGCCCAATAAGCTTGAGAGGCTGAGCAGGGTTTAAAGGAACAGTGTGGACAAGTGCAGTACCCCTTCCTCTGATAACACCTTCACTCCCTCTGTTGGGCATTGGAGAACTCATCTTTGCCAGAGCTGCTGTTCTTCCTGATGTTCTTTGGTCAGCTTCTACTTTAGCACTACCGTATGCCTATGTGTTGGGTGTTCATGCTACTGTTTCAGCCGCTTCTTTACTTTTACCCTGAATGAAAGATAGAAGCTGTGCTCAAAGCTGCCTCATCAATGGGAGGTGAAATTAGGACTCAGGAGGTGAATCTTATCAGGATGTGCACACTGCCCTGAAGGGTCATTATCAGGTTCATTTAAAAACAATTTTCCTTAACTATGTTATAACCACCACCACAGAGGATGTAAAATGAAGTTAAAAAAATTAATTAAATTTGCACTCTTCATGCTGATTTCTCATTTTGGCTTCTGCATCTTTTCATGATAACTTTGTAGAACTTATTTTTATTAGAATATGAGATTAATAGTGTGATCTCCTTTGACCCAAGTGGCTGGTCAAACTTTGTGGCCCTGTGTCTTGTTTCTCCATAGACAGAGAAAATAGTGATAGAATCAGGTATTTTCTTTGATGCAATATTGTTTATTTGCAAAGATGATACATTGAGTCTTCTTTCCCTGAACACAGAAAGAAAGAAAAAAAAAAAAGCAGGAGACAGTTCTTTTGCTCACTGTTCCAAATCTGCCTTTCTAGCCAGCATGCATGTCCAACAAGTTTCCTCGCTTAGCTGCCTCCCAGGATCAAGTTACCAGTGCTTCTGTTATGGTCTACTTGGCTTCCTAGCAGCTTCTCTCTCTCTCTCTGTCTCTCTCTGTCTCTCTCTACTTTAGCACTACCATGTGCCTATGTTTTGGGTGTTCATGCTACTGTTTCAGCCTCTTCTTTATGTTTACCCTGAGTGAAAGACAGAAGCTATGCTCAAACTTAACAACAAGGTTTAATCCAACCCACAACAATACTATTAAAGTAGAAGGGTACAGTTTTTGTGGAAAGCAGCACGGGAGTTTGATCTCTTCCTTAAGTTCTCAAACTAGAGTCAGGTTTTGGTGCATAGTTGCTCCCTGGGACCGGGGCATTGGTATTCAGGCTGAGATTTCTGAAAGTGGGAATTGTATACAAGTTGCCGTGATGCCTTCTATTTCAGGGCTGGAGTGTAGAGTGTACATAAGTTATGGCAGGAATATTCCTGGACTCCGCGTCACTGATATCTCTTCCAATGGAGAGCTGACCAACAAGGGCCTTGTGATCTGCTACTGCTTGGGTCAGGGGTGACAATACCTACCTAGCTGATTGCCCTTACTTATAACCGTCTAATGAAAACGATCTGATCTTTCCATGTATTGGTATCTAACTTTGCCATAAAGTGAACTTTCTCTTGATTTATCTATAAGAATCTGCTTTTGTTTGGCTTTCTCTTGACAGGTAAAGGAAAGGCTGCAGAAGATGGGACCGTTCCAGCCTATGAACATCTTCTTGAGACAGGAGGTAGACAGAATGCAGAAGGTTATCACCTTAGTGCGAAGCACTCTGACTGATCTCAAACTTGCCATTGATGGGACCATCATCATGAGTGTAAATCTGAGGGATGCTTTGGATTGCATGTATGATGCAAGAATTCCTACCCGTTGGGAAAAGGCAGGTGTTAAACTGTTTAGAGTCCTCTGTCAATGTTACATTTTAAAGACTAAAAAAATTACATACTCAGATTATTAATCATCATTAATATCCGATATATTAATATACTTTAATTTCAAAAGGGTTAATGTATTTTGTTCAACCCCTTTTTGAAAATATAACCTTGAAATGAAGTGCTAGATCTCAATGATAATATGAAGTCATGGTTGTGACTGCATTATCAAATTTGAGAGAGAGCTTATAGCCGAAGAGTGGAGTTATGGTATTGTACAGGGTGTAAAATAGGGCAGAATCTGATCATATATCCCCCTTTCTTTGCCCTCTTTCTGACTTACTTTAAAAAGTCCTTTTTGTCTAAAACTTCTCATACCTAGTTGGCCAGCGAAGAAATATTTTTTCTGAAGTATTAGGTAAACTGTAGAAGGTAAGATTGAGTTCCATTTTATATTTAAAGCAGAGATTAATCCTTTTAGGTATGAAAAATACCATGTATCATGACAGCACTTTTTGGGTACAGAATGCATTTTCTGAGAATTTATAAATCTGTTAATTTGAGTTTAAATTCTGGATCCATTAAGAAAATCAGTGTGTGTCCTTTTTATCTTATTGTCTAGAAGCCCAGGGCAAATACAAACGATATCCGGGCAAATAGCTGATTAGCTTGCCTAAAATTAGATGATACATCAGATAATTTGCCTGCACAGCATGTGAACATCTCATTGTATTTTGATCCAGGTGGTTATCTAATATTTGGGTCTTGAGAGTTGTTTCAGTTAGGACCAGAAATGGATATTGGAGTCAGGTGTTTCATCGATGCAGTTTTGTTTGTTTACAAAGAATGTAGATATACTCATGTTTCCTTGATAACAGTAGAAACAAAACAGGAGACAGTTTCTTTTTCACCAGACAAAAGACTATATACACACACACACACACACACACACACAATTGAATACTGTACACTGCAATGATGATTGTGAAGCTTGGTTGAGGTGGTGAAGTCAGAGGGTGGGATATTTGCCAGAGAATGCCTTACTGCTAAATGATGAACTAGCACTTGGCTGAGCCCTCAAGGGTTAACACATTATTGTTAATGTAGCCTCACACTCTACAAGGCAGCACAAATGGAGGGAGGGACAGAGAGAGACAGAGACACACACCATGTGTGAGAGAGAGAGACGCGCATTGCCCCTTTAAATACGCTGACCTCACTCTAAGTACACTGCCTTTTTAAGTAGATCAGCAAGTTGAGGCAGAGGGCAGGAGCAGCATGCAGCAGTGGGGGGAGGGACAGCTGAACTGCCCGGCAATTGCTAGCCTGCTGGGCAGCTGCCGCACAGGGAATTTAGGGGAGCGGGGAGCTGATGGGGGAGCTGATAGAGGGGCTGCTGGCCCACCCTGGTTCCAAGCCCCCACCAGCTTGCTCCAATGGGCTGCTATTTCTGCAAGTAGTGGACAAAGCAGGCGGCTGCCAAACAAAGTTATAAGGGAGCATTGCACAACTTGAAACGAGCATGTTCTGTAGTTGATCAGCAACATAACAACAAAACAATGTTAACCGGGACGACTTTAAGTGAGGAGTTACTGTACTCAGTAACAACACACTGAGCTCCCAGTGAAACACCTCCACCCACATAGCTCAGGTTTCTGACTAGCATTGCATATGGATTTTGTTTGGGTGATGGCTCCTATTGTTTCAGCTGTCTCTTTCCAGAAAGGAACTTAATAGCTTTCCAGAATTTATCCTGGATGCAGGGTAGCAGTCATGCCTACCAGCTTCCACAAGATTTCAGCCAACCCTGAGCATAACAGCATGAAGCCAAGATGATACTCATGTTGTTGTGCAGTGCATCCTTGAGCTTGGTGTTCCGGAACTTAACCATGTTCAGTGTTTTTATTATTCAAACTGATGCCAATCTATTGATGATAGAGATTATCCTTAAATTCCTTCCCCCCCTGCAAAGATAGCAATATCAGCTTCTTGCTTATGTTTTTGAGGCCTCTGAGGTACTTTGGAATTATTCACTATGTGCATTTTGTTGACAGTGACACCAAAGCACCAACAGCAATGATAAAAAAAAAATTTGACTGTGACATAGCTGGAACATAAGGGCTGAGGTAGCTTGAGTTACCTGTCTTGAACTTCGGAATAATCCTTCAAAGTTGGAGACACGTGTTTTCTTATAATGGGCTTAATCACCTTTGTGATGGGAAAGGATACTGACATATATCAGCGATTCCCTTTAAAGTTAAATACTGCCAAATACAAATGACTCTTTTTCAAACATATAAACAGCAGCCCACTTGCATTTCAGAATGTATTGCTCTTGATGTAAATGTTATCCATTGTCCTGTAGTGCTGTGGTGGTAGAAGCTGAGCTGGAATTAACTTAATCAAAACGTGCCTGTGTGGTATTGATGCAGATATGGATGAATGCAGATGCTTTCTAGTCCTATCTGGCTGATGTCTATTGGCTCGAAGGGAGACCAAGAAAAAAATACTACCTGTGGACACAGTTACAGTGAGCTCTCAATAGCTGGACTTGACTAACAGTATTTAGAGCTAGATTTCAATCCATATGGGCATTATCCATAATGTCTAAAGATTGACTTGAAAAAAAAATTACAGCAGTCTCTATTCTGATTCATTGTCAGACTGGTGGTGGGAGTGATGTAACTTCAAATCTAGGACAAAAGTAAACATACTACCAAGTAATAATCAGACACTAAAAGCAAGAGAATAAAAATGAGATCCTGGCTTAATAGTCCAAAGCGGGAGAGGGAACTAGCCAAATGCTGAGCAATGCCATTAAGACCATGACATCAGCAGCAATATTCATTTGAAACTACTTGAGAGAAACAGGCCTCAGCTCAAATGTAGGGTCAAGTGAATTTCTTCATTAGACAACCAAATTTGAAGCCTTAGCCACATTCTGAAAAGTGATCAGAAGCAGAATTTGTCTCTTTAAGTAGCTTAATTTATTCGTCTCTCATTTGTATACCTCTACAACCTTATGGATTTTAGTGAGACTGCCTGCATATAATTGAGAGTAGAATTTAGTCCACTGGGTTTATTTTTTCTAAAGTTAGTTTAGCTTTTTTAAAAATAACGAGCTTTGGTTACAATATGCATGTAGTCACTAATGAGCTGAATTGTGACAGTTTATAAGCCTTCTTGATTAAATCCTTTGATAAACACGTCTTAATTTTTTGTATTTAACATTTATTTAGTTTTTCTACAAAAATTTAATGAAACCTCTGTAACCTCAATCCTGCAAACGCTTAATGACATGCATAAATTGCCTGGACTGGGGTTTGTTCAGATACGTTTACTATGACAATCATTGTATGTTACTAAACACATAAAATAAACCAAACATTGCATGGTTATATATGGGACACACATTTACAAAAGCAAGGCAATGTTGTAGAAATAGGTGCATTTGTTTAAAATAGTGAATGGTTTAGAGAAGGTAAATCAAGTACTTCATTGATTCTCGTACTATATGAACGAGAAGATATTAAATGAAACTGAAAGCCAATAGCTAACAGTGATAAAAGGAAATAACTTTCTATGCAATGCATAACTTGTGGAACTCATTACTACTATTAGGTTATTAATGATGCCAAATTCTTTGTGAGACTCAAAGTAGTAATTATTTGGATGACATCATCTACAGTTACCTATGCTAGGATGAGACAGTCGATCAGTTGACACAGTAGTCAGTTGATATGGCCCAGCTTCAGTTTTTAATTGCAGTGTAGACATACCTTTTGGGACAACTTAAAGAGGACTGGTTTCAGAGTGGTAGCTGTGTTAGTCTGTATCAGCAAAAAAAATGAGGAGTACTTGTGGCACCTTAGAGACTAACAAATTTATTTGGACATAAGCTTTTGTGGGCTAAAACCCACTTCATCAGATGCTGTGACGGGGTCTGCTTACCCTGCACTAGCCCAGACAGAGTTAAGCCCATGGTATTGACAGCGAAGTCCCACCTCCCTGGCAAAACTGGGCATGCTCCAAGTGCTCTAATAGTATAAAGGGAGGGAGACCAGCTCATTCTGGGCTGGAGGTCGCAGGGGAAGGACTTGCCTGGGAAGCTCCTGCGGAGGGCCAGCCACAGCCTCTGACGGCACTGGGAATTGAAGCTGTTCACGGCCTGCCTGCACCCCGGCGACTAGAGGAACCCCTGGAGACGACTGGTCCTGCCGAACACAGAGGACCCAACATCTTATGGGAAACCCCAACACAGACTCTGGTAGGAAGTGACCCAGGGAGGGTGACTTAGTGGTACCTCCCACCCGGGGAAACTCAGCGTGTTTCGGTAGGACCCCCCAAGCTGAGTCAGTGGCAAGCCGCTATGCCACTATTAGGGCCCTGGGTCGGGGCCCGGTGGAGTCGGGTGGGCCCGGGCCCCCCTACTGGGGCTGCCCAACCCCATAAGGGGCGTCCCAATGCTTTGTAGGCTCTGGCCTCTAGGCCCCTCTGCCCTGTTCTGAAGGGCTGCTTCATACACTCTGACAGATAGGCCACACGGCCCTGACCCTAGGGGCATGGACCGTCACAGATGCATGTAGTGGAAAATACAATAAGAAGATATATAGATATAGATATACACACACACAGAGAGAGAACATGAAAAAATTCAAGCCTTGAATAAAGACTGGGGGTGGATGGGTCATTACACAAAGTAAAAACTATTTCCCCATGCTAATTTTTCCGCTACTGTTGCTCACACCTTCTTGTCAACTGTTTGAAATGGGCCATCCTGATTATCACTACAAATTTGTTTTCTCCTGCTGATGATAGCCCACCTTAATTGATTAGTCTTGTTAGAGTTGGTATGGCAACACCCATTTTTTCATGTTCTCTGTGTATATATATCTTCCTACTGTATCTTCCACTGCATGCATCTGATGAAGTGGGTTTTAGGCCACAAAAGCTTATGGCCAAATGAATTTGTTAGTCTCTAACGTGCCACAAGTACTCGTTCTTTTTAAAGAGGACTGATTTCCAGAGGGTGGGCATTGAGCACTTCCTGAAAATTGGGCTTTTTAAAATGTTTCTTGAGAGGCATGTGTTCATTCTTGAAAATGTAGGACAAAACTTATAGAGATAGTGAACCCTCATGGTTCAGGGCATAAACTGACCATTAATTGCCTGGGATTAAGAAGAACTTTTATAGAAGCTGACACCCACTACATGAAAATGTAGTTAAGTTTGAGGCCACATATCAGATATTTAGGGTGAACTGCATTACAGGTATGTTGTCATCTTCCAAGAACTGAGCATCATAATCCTAGGAAATTTAGAATTAAGGCGGAATTGAAAAGAAATCCAAACATATTAAGGTATGGAAATGTACAGATAAGGCACCCTTAATTCTTTCCTGTAGTGACCCTATGAAGGGGAAAATGTGTCTTGAAAAATCAGTTTCTGAATTCACAAACACTAAAATAGATTAATCCTAATTGTATGGGTTTTGCATAGTGCTATGGCAGGGCAGAGTTAAGGTTTCTGCTGAAAGAGAAAAATACACTTACGAAGAAGATCAAAGGGAGAATGAGTTTAAATTCATAAAGAAACAAAAGAAAAGAAAAGTAGCCTATACGCAGAATTTCAATGAGTTTTAACTATGCAGGGACTCTAAGGAATGGTGTTCTGTTACTGAGATTTATTGGGGTAAAAATCTGATACTGGATGCATAATTTCTTATGGCCCATTTTTACTTCAGAGTTGTCAGAAAATTCATTCTGTACCTCAAAAGTATGTGCTTTAGTCTTGGGAAACATATTTTTCATGCAGAGGAGGTTGAATCATTGCTTTAAGTTCAAAACTGAAGTCAGCATTAATGAATCACTGCCAAAGCCTCCTTAAAATATTATGTTAAAAAACTATGCTAAATGGATGTTACTGAGTGTTTGGCTTTGCCACCTCAGTAAGTGCCAGAACTAAGGTTGCCCGTGCAACCTTATTCATTCCTCATTGTGCGCATCCATCCTGGACACTGAAAGGGGCAGAGGACCTGTGGAAAAAACAGATGTGATTGTGGAATTAACTTAATGCATTATGATTCCATCTTTAATTGTCTGTGGAGTAGTCTGAGCATAAGATGGAGAAGCAGAGCCTGAGTTCTAATCCCAGCCTGACACTGGCTCCCTCTGTCAAATAACTTAGCTTCTCTTCATCTCTCTCTGCTATAGAGGTGCTTGGTATAGATCTTTGAAGATGGAAAATGCTCTGTATTATCACTGCATAAGATTTTATTGAGACAGAGCCTTTTTAAGTCTGAAAATTCAGTCTTTTAGTTCCCAAGACAACTGTCTATTCTGTAAGTGACATGAAATCAGCTTAATGTATGAGCATATGATTTCTAGACAGGTTTATAGAAAAATGCAGTGCTTTGACATCTATGGATAAAAGGCACTAGTTAGGTATTGTTTTAAATATGGAAAGGGGTCCAACTGAGGTTAATTGGGCACCCCTTATTGCTGGCATTTAATAACTTTTGAGTTGTTTACTTTGCAACCTAAATACTATTTGTTTTATGTAATTTCCTAAAGCCTTTTCTTAAAAAGATAAAGGCAAAACCAATTATTTTACATGCAACTACCTCCCCATCATGCATCATTAGCAGGGTTGGAAATGTGAGATTTAATCATTGCAACACAGACTGCTACCCTTTGAGATACTGGACTAATTAGCAGCAAGCGAAGGCTGTTACCCAGAAAGGTGGTTGGGCTTCTGGCATCATGTGCTGGAACTAGAAGGTGGTCAGGGGAAACTGAGGTAGGCCTTTTCCCCTACCCTGGGAGTTGGAGGTGCTCCTATACTCTGTGATACTCTCAGGGGAACTGCATTTTCAAGGGCATATAGCTTGGCCAAATTTGGGCAGATTTTCCTGGGGACTGCAGAAGGCATATACCTTACATGAGGTCCACCCATCTGCCAAATTTCAAGTCCTTGCCCCGAAGAATGGGTATGTTGCTATTGTTCAAAAAGAGGTGACAGAATTTTAACATAAGTAAAAAATAAAATAAAAAATCCCCTACACTAGGTCTCAGAACAGCCAATCCGTTTGGACTGAAAGTTCAAAGAAAAAAATTCAGCCTGTGAGAGACATCTAGCATGGAAACGTTCATCCCAAACAATTAGTTTGACAAAGTTATAATCAACTGAAATGGGGTCTTACAATGGGAAATGTCTGGCCACCATAGCCTCAGGTGGTGCTACTAATCCTGTCTATAATAATGGATATAGGGAGAAATTCTGGCCCTACTGAAGTCAATTGGAGTTGTATCATTATCTTTAGTAGGGCCAAAATTTCAGCCTGAGGTTGATAATTCCAAACTTAATATTTCAATAGTCTTGTAATAATATGTCCCTAATACTTTGAGATATTTTCCTTGATATGATAAATTAATTGGCATTGCTGTGATTACAAAATCTTGAAAGTTCTAAACATCCCCCTCCCCTAAAAAACACCTCTTTTATACCTGTTTCTAGGGGTCTTGGGCTTCCAGCACACTAGGTTTCTGGTTTACTGAACTTCTGGAAAGAAACCATCAGTTTTACTGCTGGATATTTGAGGGCCGACCAAATTGCTTCTGGATGACAGGGTTCTTTAACCCGCAAGGATTTTTGACTGCAATGAGACAGGTGAATAGTTTTATTTTTATATTACCCTTTCAATTATATTCCCCCTTTATTATAGCTTGCATGGGAAGGCTGAGTGTGTGTGTGAGAGGGAATATTTTCTTTTGTGTGTTGAACTACTTTGTCCTTTTAGGATTAGATTCTGCCCTTGGCTACATCGGACATGTTAGAAGGGGAGCTAAGGGACAGCTGAAATCCCCAGGACAAATTTTTGCTATCTTAGCAGTCATACCTGCCATGTTACCCTTGAGTATGGTGCACTGTACTTACTACTCTGGGCCCACCCATCTTCATGCCAAGGGCTGCCTTGGAGGGTCTCTAGGAGGGAGTGGGGATCAGACATGGCAAACACGCAGAAATTGGGCTTGTTTTTGGCTTAATTGGCTTGTGAGTAACTTATTGGCTAGTTTTTGGCTTGTAGCTTGTTTGGCTTGTTGCTTGTTGTAGCTTGTTGCTTCTTCTTCTTTTTTTTTTTTTT